GTGATGTTCCTAAATGTTAGTTTTATGTCCATTACATTGAATTTTTTATAAATATTTCCATTCAGGCATAGTAAAATGTATTATAAAACTCGTAGATGATGCAAATCTTGGTAATGTGGCAGATAGTGAGGGTGATAGCTGTAGGTTTCACGTGTACGGGCAGTTTGGAGAAGTGGGCTGAAGAATGACAGATGGTGTTCAATACAGTGAGGAGATTAATTTCTATATTCTTTCATGGGATGTAGGCACCAGGGGCAAGGTCAGCACTTCTTGTCGATCCCTCACTTGAGCAGCTCACAAGGCCATTTTAGAGGACAGTTAAGAGTCAATACATTGCATTGGGTCTGGAATCGCGTATAGGCCAGACCAGATAAAGATGACAGATTTCTGTCCTAAAGGATATTAGTGAGCATGATGAGTGTTTACAACAAAAGTAATAGTTGCCATGGTTGCAATTACTAAAACTAGCTTTGTATTCAGGATTACTAATTGAATTTAGATACCAGCAGCTACTATGGTGGGATTTTGAACCCTTGGCCTCAGAACATTATCCTGGGCTTCAACAATGTATGTTAGATGAAATAGTCAGTAGGCCTCCACTTTCCCCTGTGATGTGGTGCACTTTGTATTAATATACAAAGATAATATAAATAGCACAATTTTGAAAAATGCAGATGAGCAGAAAGACTTTGGTGTCCATGTGTATACATCAGAAACATATTGGGGGAAGTGGCGTGATGGGTGAAGTTGATAAGGTGGCTAAAGTGGGTTACTAGCCTCAACAAAAATCATAGAATATAAAAGCAAAGAGAACAGGCTAACATTTATAAGGCACTGATTAGTTCACAGATGGAGTATTGTTGTCATTGCAGTGCACCAAAAATCAGGTAACGTGATGACCTTAGTAAGGAAATCTTTCCAGGCAGTGGTGAAACACTGCTTTTTTTTTATATAGAATCCCTACAGTGTGGAAACAGGCCCTTCGGCCCAACAAGTCCACACCGACCCTCAGAACATCCCACCCAGACCCATCCCCCTATAACCCACCTAATCTCTGTTGCCTCGATTAAATTCCGTCTATGAGGATCCTCTTGACCAGATTGAAATTTACATTGAAAAAGGAGAAATCTGCATCAAAGATATCAATAGATCATTGATCTTCAAGGTCATTGGCAAGTGCTGTTCTTTCACTGTTGATCACAAAATTCAACCCATTATATCTGTTGAGATAATTAGCTATTGCTGAAACATCCTAGCCAATGGTTACGCAGCTCATGTTCAGACTGCAGAACCTCTCTCTAGCTGATCAGAGTCAACAATGTAGGTAAAAATCTCAAGTTCATGGTCAGGCTTTTAGGTTAATGTATACCTTCAAGTAAAAACTTTAATAAAATTATTAAAATGCATAAAAGACTATTCAGAAAGTCAGTTTATCTTATCATTGTGTTGCATCACTTCGAAATGTTTTTATTTGGTTTAAACCTTTATTTTTTGCATGACTATTTTCAATTACTGAGCAAGGAATATTTATTTTCCTGAGATAATTTTGAACCATTCATAATAATATCAATGTTTTAAATCAATAAATTCTCCTGGCTGATCAATCAGGACTAATTATACTTCTAAATTGCCAATAGTAGTTCACTGGCAGTTTATTACCTTGCAAATGATTGCTGTTTTTCCTCTGTCTTCAGCTCATTTGTTTCTCTTTTATTTTGAAAAAGTCAGCTAAGTATTACATCAAACCAAAAAAATCAATAGGAAACAATGTGATATTAGGAAATGCATATTAGATCAAAGACGTTATTACACATAATAGACGGCAAGATATTTTGATAACATATTTATAACAGCAATGCATTAAGATATTCTAATCAGTAATCTTCAGGACTAAAATACAAGCTTTATAACAACTTACTGAAAAAAAATTAGTTCCAAGTTAATAGAGCAAAAGAAAACTATCCTCAGGATAGTAAAGTGTAAAAATAAGTTTAACGTTGTGTTATGATCCCACTTGAATGTAATAACTGGACAAGGTAGATCCTGTACTGGGACAAGAGCAGAAATTGTTGGAGAAACTCAACAGGTCTAGCCGCATCTGTTGAGACAAAAACAGAGCTAATGTTTCAAGTCCAGTGACACTTCATCATCCATACTGAGACCTTGTTTGATAGACCTAAGTTTTATTAATTTTTCTTTGCTGTGGAGATCTGTCACTGAACTAATTCACAAAGGTTGTCAGTGTGTTTTTAACAAATTAAAAAATATTGTTCTACAAAACGTAGAAAAAGCACGCAAAATTTATTTTATGATACGATATCTGTTAGGATGAGGTAATGACAAATATCAGAAAGAAAGATTCAATACTTTTACCCTAACAATAACCTTACAGATACTCAATCCTCAGTGAAGGGTCACTGTAACTCCATGCTATGGCTCCTTGTTCAGTTAGCTCAACTGTACTTGGTTTATTTTTCTGCAAAGTTCTGGGCATTCATTTGATGCAATTCTCTCCAATTAATTTCTCTCCCTATGACTTTTCAATAAGTGACTAAGCCAACTCACTGTTACTATGGGAAATAGGCTCTTAAATGTATGTCAACAGCACTCTTGCAGGGAGTCGTCCTCTCTGACACTTCCACACCCATCTGCTTCTAGAATTTTCTTCTCAGCAAGTCATAACTTCTCCTTTCTGACCTGCCTGTTTTGGGGCAGAAAATTCTTGCTCGTCATTTAACTCCATTTACATGATTTCTTGGAAATGCTATCTTTAGTTCACTATTCAAATGACTTTTTGGCCTTTAATAAAGAATTAAGTCAGACCTTTGCAGCACTAAAAATTAAAATCAATTTTTCTTCTACTTTTGAACCAAAGTTTCCATATAATAACAAAATATCATGAGCATTCATCATAATTGTAAAAAAAAGCAACAAGATTAAAATAGTTTGCAGAATCTAAAGCAATATGTGGTATCTGCTCACAAAGATATTACTGTTTAAAACCATACTGAGACATTATTAGTGAAGAAAATATTTGTGTAGCTAAAATAATGCCTTTGATCATGGAATAGAATCCCCACAGTGTACAAAGAGGCTATTCAGCCCATCAAGAGTGCACTGACCCTCTGAAGAGCAGCCCACCTAGAGCCAGACCCCCAACCTATCCCCGTAACCCCACATTTACCATGGCCAATTCACCTACTCTACACATCTCTAAACACTATGGCAATTTAGCATGGCTGATCCAACTAACCTGCACATCTTTGGACTGTGGGTAGAAACTGGAAAACCTGGCAGAACGCCACGCAGACACAGGGAGAATGTACAAACTCCACACAGACAGTCGCCCAAGGCTGGAATCAAACCTCGATCCCTAGTGCCGTGAAGCAGCAGTGCTAACCACTGAGCCACCATATCATGCCAAATTTAATTCATTTCATTTCCAACCTGAAACACAACAATATTTTGACTTTGGCTTTCTCAGGAGATTGTAGAATATTCTTGTTTTATCATTGTGAAATACTTGAGAATATGTGGTTTGAATATCACGATGCATTTGAACGTAAAATCTGAACATTGGTCAAAAGATAGATTTTCTGAGTAAGAGTTGCCTGTGTTTTTCTTGCATTCATCTTAACAAACAAATACATCACAAATATGTAATAAAACAAAGTGCTAGTGAGATTTGGTCAGAAATCACACAAGACCAGGTTATAGTCCAACAGGTTTATTTGAAAACACAAGATTTGGCACACCAGCACTTCTGTACGTAGACTTAACATTTCAAGTCCAAGTAAATCTTCCTTGATCCCCAAGGGGCTTAGGAAATGATGAATGTATGCTTTTGAGAAAGGGGAAGAGGAGAAAGTGGAACATGTGGCGAGGATGCCCAGAGGAAAAGACAATGGGAGTTCTGATGGTAGTACAGGAGGGATATAGATGCAGAATAGGTGTTAATGGTAAGTGAGAATAGTGGAGTTATAGATCAGCTCAGCTGAGAGTAAACCCATGTTAAAAAAAAAACAGTGGTATGAGGAATGGAGTGTAACCAAATAGAGGACACTATTCATGATCTGAAATTGTTGGATTTGAAGTTCATACTGAGGCTATAAAGTGCCTATAACAAAGTACTCCTCAACAGTCACCAGCCTGGCTTCAGTGGGAGACAAAGCATCACAAATGTTTTGCATACCTAAGCTGTAGGCCTGGGAATCGGGAGGGGTTGGTGATAATGTGGGGAAATGGAGTCTTAAGTAAAGGTTTGGATGGAAGGGTGATTTGCTCAAACCTAACATGGTTTACAGAAATGTAATGCAAAAATGAAATGAAAGTTTTTGGGGGATGGGAATGTATTGGTTGGCCAGATTGACAAACTGAGCCTGCAGCACACACTGTGAAACACAACCTGTGTGGTCCTTCATCCTCATCTCAATCATCATTTAAAAATGGCTGCCACCACACTTGGAGGGAGCAGAGCGAGTATGTGTATGTCGGAGGGAGCAGGTTCTCCTTGTGAGTAATTTGAGGCCTTGCAGGGGGCAATAAGATTAGTCAAATGCTTACACAGTATAGGTTAAAGACATCTGGAATCATATATGACCACGTATGTGATCAAGTGCATGTCTGAAAATCCTGGGTACATGTATGTCATGTCATTTACAAATTATTTGTAATAATCACTGTGAAGGAAATGTAACATCAGTAATGAAGCTCCTAAAGCTGCTTACCTCTTGCCTTGGAATATAACATTTTCACATTACTACCTTACAAGCAATGCTGCTTTTCTTGGGTAATGAAGCTGATGGGGGCTAGGTGGAAACAGACTCATTCTACCACATGACTCTCCTACTGAGCATACATGTGAATCAGGTCTACCACATAAAAGACTCATTGTCCTCCTTCTCAGATGTTTTCATGTCCCAGTGTTTGGAGGGCGGTGGTCACTTGTGTGTGCTGCAATTGCTGACTGATAACATAACTGAAGAACTGCTTCATTTCAGATATTCCCCACATAGGCCACACTATCACCAATGGATCAAGACATAGAAACTTTTGTCATCTCTGTTACAACTAGGAGTGTTCACATAAATTGATGAGGAGCACATGAGCCTGGAAGCCCAGTTCCAGCAGCAACATCTAGAGTTTCCAGCAAGTGGTCCCTCATGATGCAGAGAAAGTGTAGAAGATCAACAATCTTTCCTCATCGATGGAACATTCTCCTAATGAGCAAAGTGTATCAAATGACATTGTCTCAGAATACCATGCTAAAACAGTGCCATCTGCTGAATAATTCCAAGGTCAGAGCACTATAGTCTCTACACCTGTCGGAATGCCATATCATGAAACCCAATGTATATTCAATGTAATACCTTCTTCTACTGGGACCATCGACCAGACAGGAATTCTTTTGTAACCACTGTCAATGGGATTGAAGTTATCATTTATTAATTGTAAATGTATTGATGTTGGAAAGAATAGCAGCCGTTACTTAACCTCAACTACAAACCACAGCCAACTGGCTTATTCTTTCTTCATTTTTCTTGCTGTTTAATAAAACTTAAATTATAAACTGATGACACTTTTACAACATTGGGTGTTCCTTCATTCAATAAAGACAAAATGTCATGCGCTAGAAAGAATAGCTATCCTTCACCTAGCGTTCTAACATCATGTGACTATGAGAATGAATGTCCTTTGGAACTCACCCAAGTGAGGATGAAAAATAAACATAAGTTTATAAATATGACACTCTAATTAAAATGACCTTACACCCAAGCCACCTGCATGCTCTCAGAAAGTTTCCTTTTAACTTTTCCTTCTGCTATGTCTCAATGAAGTTCAGCCTGCCCTATAATGCAGCCTGTTGACCCGAGAGATTTGGATGAATGATACTAGGGCATTTTTAGCGCACACGCAGCAGGCGGTGAAGAAAGAAAATGGTTTTGAAGAAAGATCACTGGAGTCAATGTTAACTCTGCTTTCTTTCCACCAAAGGAGCCAGACCTGCTGAGTTTCTCCAGCAAATTCTGTTTTCATCAAAGCAAATGATATGTTGGTCCTCACAGCAAGAGGATTCAAGTCCAAGAGCAGGGATGTCTTGCTGCAGTTATACAGGACTTTTGAGAGATCACACCTGGAGTTTTTTGTGCAGTTTTGGTCTCCTTATAGAGTCATAAAATCATAGAGACATACAGCACAGAAACAGACCTTTCAGTCCAACGAATCCAGGCTGACTATGTCCCCGAACTAAACTAGTGCCATTTGTCTGCGTTTGGCCCACACCCCTCCAAATATTTCCTATTCCTATCCATTTATCCAAATATCTTTTAAATGTTGTAACTGTACCTGCATTCACCATTTTCTCTGGCAGTTCATTCCACACACAAACCAGTCTCTGTGTAAAAATGTTGTCCTTCATGTCCTTTTTAAAACTTTCACCTCTCACCTTAAAAATATGGACACTAGTTTTGAACTCCCCCACCTCAGAGAAAAGACCCTTGCTATTCATCTTATCAATGCCCCCTCTGAGGAAGGATGTTCTGGCTATGGAGGGAGTGCAACAAAGGTTTACCAGGCTGATTCCAGAGATGGGATCAGTTAGGACTATATTCACTGAAGTTTGGAAGAATGATGGGGAATCCCATAGAAAGCTGTAAGATTCCAACAGGACTAGTCAGGTAGGATGTTTATAGAATCCCCACAGTGTAGAAACAGACTCTTTGCCCCAACAAGTCCCACCAACCCTCTGAACAGCATCCCATCCAGACCCATCCTCTTACACTTTCCCTGTAACCCGGTATTTCCCATGGCTAACCCATCTAATCTACACATCTTTGAACACTATGGGCAACTTAGCATAGCCAATTTATCTAGCCTGCACATCTTTGGACTGTGGGAGGAAACCCACACAGACACAGGGAGAACATGCAAACTCCAAACAGTCACCCGAGGGTGGAATCAAACTGGAGTCCCTGGCACTGTGAGGCAGCAGTGCTAATCACTGAGCCACCAGGGAGTCTGGAACCAGGAGTCACAGTTTTAAGGATATGGGGTAGGGCATTTAGGATTGAGTTGAGATGAAATTTCTTCAGTCAGAGAGTGGTGAGCCTACGGAACTCTGTCAGTTGAGGCCAAAACGTGGAATGTTTTCCAGAAGGACCTGGGCACCATTCTCACAACTAAAGGGATCAAAAGGTATGGGGCATAAGTGAGAACAGGATACTGCGTTAGACAATCAGCCACGAACACAGAGAATGGCTGAGCAGGCTTGAACGGTTGACTGCTCTAAATGCTACAGAAAGCATGACTCATCAGCACACCAGCAGGTTCACAAGGGAATAACTGCATACACCTGCATGGAAATATGTTGAAAAATGTTCTGTTCTATGTGCGAACCCCAGTGGAAAAACATGTGCACCAGCAGAAGCGAAGGCCAACCAGTGCAGAGGGAGAGTCAGAACCAGACTCCACTGCGGATAAAGGAGGAAGTCAAACCTGTAACTCTGACAGAAACACCCCTGATGAAAGGGTGCAAAGGCTTCAGTTACAAACTTGCAATGGGATGGGGTGTTTACAGACCAGGGATATTTGCTGATACTTTGGTGAGGGAAAGGCTAGCTGCTAATGTTTGGTCATACCTCATATTCCCTAAAAGGTACAGAATGCTTTGTAACATTGTGCAACCTGATATTGCAGAAGAATCCTTCGCTGAATTCTGCTTTTGAAATATTATATTTTTATTTATATTTATTATATCAAATGCTTGGGTGCGCCATGATTTTGAGCATCTCATCCCAATACTCTCCTCAGGCTGTCTACTGACTGTCACTGTATACAGGCTGGAAGAGCCCCAAAAAAGAACAAAAAAAATCTAAGTTTATCAGTAACAAATCTGTCCAAACGATCAGATATTTTGCCTATCTGCTTCCACGCATTGGATTCGAGAGCTGCTGAATTGATTGTCAAACTAATGCAGTTTAAACATTTTCAGTTGCCGCAGCTGTTAAAAGTACTGAACGGAAAAGATTCTTACTATTTTCAGCCAGCAGGTGGTGCTGATGTTTTATTTTCATAAATTCTTGAGGTTTCCATAATTACACATTTCTATTGCAACTCCACTGTGGTGTCTTCAACACTTCTGCTTTCTTTTATTTTTAGTACACTCAATAACACATTCATGTTTATACCTCTGTGTTAATTATTGTACCCTATGTATTTCAAATGCGTTAATGGACAAAGATAGCACAGGCAGTAACACACATGGCCTGTTACACCAGCATTAGTTGGATAGGCTATTTCAATCTGACAAAACTGGTCCAATTTCTCTAACATCCTTGGTTGTTGTTTTCTTAAGCTGCTCTTAGTCTTCTGTCGCCAAAGAATGTCTACAGAGCCTGAAATAGAACGAAATACACCAACTTTTATTTGCAAACATAACTAATGGTACCAACATCTAACAAAGACTTTGACTTTCCACAAGGCTGTGAGAGAGCAATATAATGTGTCAAGTGACACTGCATCACTTCCTGTGATGATATTGACCGTGTTTTATTTACATATTACACAGTAACCTCTTAGATTACAATTTTCAAAGTATTTATTTGGAGATTTGTTCAGATAACAGACCTTAGTGCATTAAATAGAGCAATTTCACACTTAGACAATATCATCAAGAAAGACAAGATGTGAGCTGTATACTGGCTAAGACTGTGCTTTACAATTTTCAAATTTATGTTTCCTACATTAGCAAAATTGGGCGAATGACAGTGTAGGGACAGTTCTGTGCAGTGCTCAGGAGCTCATTGGAACTAGGCTGAGATTTCTTGTGTAAACAGCAGCAACCTATATTTATAAATCTCTTTTAAATAATGAAATGCCCGAAAGTGCTTCATAGGATCGTCATAAGTCAAAGTTCAACAATGAACCATGTATGAAGATATTAGATCTGTTTTCTTGAAATCTTGTCCAAGATTTTGGCCGAGTCCTAAAAGAGGAATGTGAGATAGAGGGATAGCGGGATGTAATTACAGAGATTGGGGCTGAAGTAACATAAATCAGAGGAATTAAAAGCAGAGCTGTACCAGTGGCCAGAGTTACAGGAATACAGATAATGTTAGAGGGTTCTGGGATTGGAGAAGATTAAATATATTGGGAGGAGTAGGGTCACAGAGAAATTTAAAAACAAGAATGAAACATTTAGTCTTGGTATAGCCAACAAAGAGAGGAGACATTTTCTCACTGATGCACTCAAGACTGAATGAAGATCTCACAGACGGACCAACTTGTTGGGCCCTCCAGTTTAGTTTATCATATTACAATGTTAAAAATAATTATATGTGTCCCTGTTTAATATGATACTGATTTATCTCACTGATATTCCTCTTGTTTCTAAGTCAGAACAATAATCCAAACCTCACATAACAAATTATCATGTCAATGCATTACTTAGGATGCATGGCATTGTCAGAAGGGCTGCTTTTTAAATGAGGACTTAAAAATTTCTCCCTGTTCAGTCAGATGCAAAAGATTCTTGTCACTTCAAAAAGGAATACGTTCTGACTAATTCATATCCTTCAGTCATCACTACTGTTGATCAAATTAACCATCCGTTGGAGTCAACTTGTTATTTGGGAGTCCTGCTGTGCAGAAATTAGCTACGACACCTGCTTACATAAAAGTTTGAACAATACCATGAAGCCTTGGGGCATCCAAATGAAGTGAAGTCTAAGGACGGATTTAATGTGAATTGTTCATGATTAGATACCACGGTAGTGATTTTCAATGGTTGCACGCCTTGCACTCCAGTGCCAAAGGGACAGACTGCAATTGATAAGCGGGGAGGGTGAAATATCCATCACCCATTGTGCAACCAAGGCCTGTCTAATGTGATTTTTATGTGAATAAGAAGCTAACCCTGCTTTTAAAAACAGGCCTATATGCAATTGTCAGCAGCAAACAGCTCATCAACTTTTTGTCCATTTTGTGTGTAAATACAACACCACTTCGATATCCCAACAAGATTACTGTATACTGATAACTCTTCAAATTAATGTTCACAAATGTTTCTTAGTATCAGGTCACCATTGGGCTGAAATTGCACATCGTCAGTACAGGATTACAATGTGCTTTGCATAGAACCTCCATTCAATAAAACTCCAGACAGACTATAATAAAACGAGATTTAGAAATTTATCTTGGAAAACATTTAAGGGAAGGTGATGCGAACTTTGTATATAATGCATAACTGGTCAACCTCCTGTGCCATTGCACACAGAAATAAAAAACTGAAATGTCTGGAAAAAGATTGCATCAACTTTCTTAAACACTGTCTGACATATCACTGAACAGTTAAGATTCAGAGTAGACAAAATTCACTATTGTGGAGGTTAAAAATATATTGAATGAAATGGAGGCATTAAAATGGCATACATATTCCTGGTTTGCTTGAGGCAACTCACTTGCACAAAGTACAAGATGATACATAATATGACAATGAGGCAATCTGGTAAATTAATAAAGGAGCAGAACCATCTCATTACTGAGGAACACTGAAATTATATTCAAGAAAATGATTGATTTCTGAACAGTCAAAAGGTGGATTAATGCTCCTTCTGTCCTTCAAAAGTCAATCTCCTCAATACCTAAATCCTTCACGTACTTGCACCAGCTGGTATCTGTGCAGGAGCATTAGATTTGCAGCCCTCCACAATATGCTGTTCCAAATGCGTAATACTAGGTAATGAGATCTGACCAGAAAAGTTGGCCATTTTAAAACAGACATTTAACAGACAGGGCACACATACACGATCTACTGGGTAGTACACACTCTTCGTCTTTTGGGGTGCCGGTAGATCTCAAAGTGGGCACTATAGCGATATGATTTGGAGTCCATCTAGCGAAGATCTCCAGCGAGCAGTGGCCAGAAGCGCGGAAGCCAGTGACCGGAGGTCGAGTGCGGGAGTGGGGTTAGTGGCCTGCTGTGGAAGCAGGAACAACAGCCCAGTGCGGAAAGCAGTCAGACTACATGGAACCCCCTACGCTGGTCTGCTGTGGGGAGCCCTTGGAAAGAGATTGTGATGTTTGTCTTTTTAACTATGATTCTTGTTTTTTCTGACTTCTGGTTACACTGCATATAGCTGTAATGTAACATTTTTTTCCTTATTCCTCTATTCTGTAACTAAGGACTGTACCTAAGATGGTGCTGTGTTGGTGACATGTTTACACTGTAACTAATCTGTAACTGAAGAATCTGTGCCTAGGTATCTTTGTACCTAAGATGGCACTGTAAGTGGCAACTTATTAACTTTTCACTGCATTCATTTGAGTAGATGTGACAATAAAGCAAATTCAATTCAAACGTAAAAGTGCATTAGCAGGTGGTAATATATTAGCATGGATCGAGAATTGGTTCATGGGCAAGAAAGAGTGGGAATAAATGGGTCTTTTTCTGAGTGGCAGGCAGTGACAAGTAGTATATCACGAGATTGATGTTTAGATCCTAGCTATTCACAAATACATATAAATGATCTGGATGAGGGAACCAAATGCGACATTTCCAAGTTTGTTGATGACACAAAACTGGGCAAGAATGCGAGTTATGTGAAGGATGCAAGGAGGCTTTAAGGTGATGTAGACAAGTACTGGTCAACGCAAGTACAATGTGGCTAAATGTGAAGCTAGACACTTTGGTGCGAAAATAAAAAGACTGTATTATTTGAATGGTAATATATTGGGAAGTGTGGATGTACAAAGGGATCTGGGTGTCTGTACACACCAGTCAATGAAAAGAGAGGCAGGTGCAGCAACCAGTTAGGAAGGTAAATTGAACATTGGCCTTCAGTGCAAGAGGATCTGTTCAGTTGTACAGGGCTCTCATGAGACCATACTTGGAGTAATTGGTGCAGTTGTGGCCACCCTACCTCAGAAAGGATCAACCTAACATAGAAGGACTGTACCACTGATACCTGGAATGGAAGTACTGTCCTATGAGGAAAGATTGGTTTGACTGGGCCTGCATTCAACAGAGTTTAAAAGGATAAGAGGAAATCTAACTGAAACATATAAAATTCTAACATGACTGGACAGACTAAATGCAGAAGTGTTTTCTCTGGTTGGAAAGTATGGAACAATTAGGCATAGTCTCAGGATTTGGGATAGGCAATTTAGGGCTGAGACGACTAAAAAAGTCTTCACTCAAAGAGTAGTGAACCTGTGGAATTCTCTACCTCAGAGAGATGTGGAGGGCAAGTTGCTGAATATATTCAAGAAAGAGATAGAATTTTTAAAAATATATTAATGGTAGCAAGGGGTATGGGGAGAAAGCAGAAATGGAGGATCAACCACAATCATAATGAATGGTGGAGCAAGCTCGACAGGCCAAATGGCCTACTTCTGCTCCTAACTTCCATGATGGAAAAATACCCGGAATTGTTCCCACAACTGTTCCATCTCTAACCTTATTTGGGCTTCCTGTGATCATAGGCAAAAATATAACTTTTACTTTTACAACGCTCTCAGTACCAAGCAGTAAATCAACTTAATCCATCAGTCTGGAAAATTCCTACTACCACTGTTCTGGACAATACCACACTCCAATTACATCTTGTACAATAACTTTACTCTTCATTTATCCCATTTCCCTTTCTCATGTTCAAGATGTTTTAGAAACATTGAAAATACAAAACAGGAACCTTGGAGATGGTGCATCTGACTTTGTGCTTTTCACTCTATTTGATTGTTTAGCCATTTCTGCGTGAGATGCTGCCTGCTGTTCTCTGCAAGGCAGTGATAAGCCAAACATCACTGCTGTCGGCTTTTGCCACTTATGCTCTGCTGGTATCTCTTGCCTCCTGGCTTTGCTCCCTATCACTAATTGACAACTAAGCTTGCCTCCAGCCCAGTTCAGCTGTATGTATTTAAAGGTAAGGTCACAGGAGCAAAGCAGATAAGAAACAGATTGGGACAAAAAATATCCACCTCCCCGCCATCAAGTTGAAAAGGAAGTCCCTGAGAGGTGAATTTCAATTGGAATTCATGTGAAAAAAGTTGGAGCTGGTGACAATTGCTGAGAAAAGAGTAAGGCTATCAGAGTGTTTTGGCAAACACATCTGTACCTAGACTGAATCATCGGAAGTCAAGGAGAGAACATGTAGCACAGTATTTACGAATTAATACGTGTCTGTCCGAGCCTTTTTTCCAACTTGTCGGCCAGATGCCAGAGTTGTGGGTGTATTGGGACAGTGAGCTAGGGACGCTACCAATTCTGGACCATGTTTTTTGTACCATGGATGATATGTCATCAGCATAGCCTTAACTGTTTCCAGAATGGATCATCTACTTGGCACTTCTGGCTGAAGGTGGATGCAAATGCTTTGGCCTTGTCTTTTGATGCTGGAGGTATTTGTGCAGGCTTCTCCTCTGGTGCCCGCATCATTATTGCTTGGCTGCAACTTCATGGCCATGAGTTGCATGCTTTCTTCAAACTTTACTACCCCATTTGTCACTACAAGCATGCCTTCAAAACTTACATCTTTAATAATTTCCTCAGACATCCCCTAATTCCTCTAATTCTTAATAGGCATCTGTTGTCAGCCCTGTGAAATGACTCACTTCAATAAAAATTGGTTGTGGTTACTTACCCCAGTAATTCCCCGCATTTTCTTTTACTTTTTTAAATGAACATTTAATGCTAAAAATGAAAGATAACTAAAATAGCCAGATAATTTAAAAAAAAGTCAAAGTGTCTTCTATTTTTCAAAAGGCCAACTAGATCAGCACTTCCACAAAGATTACCTGAAAAGTCAAAATGTGACATCCAATCCCTCAAGCTTCCAGTCAGAAATACTAGGCAAGTTTTCTTCCCCAATCATTGCGTGAATAGAAGCAGGCAGCTATACCATTTTATGGTATTGATTGACCTGTCAGCTTCCTGGCACCACACCAAACCAACATCACCCCCTTACTCCAGCGCTGGATCAAGGTGGAATTGTGATGGGCACACCATCCCCCCTTCAGAGTAATTGTCAATGGACTCTATCTTTGGAAAAGCAGCAACATGGACTCTATACAGTCTTTGAATGGTTTCTGGAAAGTCAGGTAACTTGTGTTTGTGGTTTCTGGACAGAGACAACATTCCTGGGAAGTCATTTAAAAATGCAAATAGGTTTTCTAGGTGTGGATCAACTGCCCCATATCATTTCGATGGAACGGATTGAAAGAGATAAAAACTCTTGGAAGAGTAAATAAATTGAAATCATTTGAACTGGTCTGACCGATATGTACTGAAAGAAGACTGAAGCGTGAGCAGAGAACTAGGGGAGCAGGGCAAGAACTAAGGAAGCAGCAAAAGAGATGGGGCTAAGCAGTAGCAGCATTGGCAGTATTAACATTTTGATTTTCTTTTGTGATCTCAGCACAACAAATTTCACACCAATTCACTCATCTTGGTGGGAACCACACCAGGACGTTCTCAGTCAGGAGCATCTCATCGGTCTGTGATTTTGGTGCCTATTCCTGAGCTTGCCATCCTCAATTTGAAATCTGAGGTCCTGTATATCTCCGTAAGATTATTTTCCAAAGGCCTGCAGATTGCATCAGAGAATACCTGGATACAATACTTAATGTGAAATTGCATCAGCATAGAGTTTGATCATCATTGCCACTAAAATGTATTGTTCTGGCTATTATTGCTTTAGTATACACTTTTTTTTTTTGTTTATTATTTGATTATTTAATATCTTACCTGCTATGAATTCAAGGTCTCACTGGGCCCTGTGATAGTTTTACGGTGGCACAGTGGCTCAGCGGTTAGCACTGCTGCCTCACAGCACCAGGGACCCAGGTTCGATTCCACCCTCAGGCGACTGTCTGTGTAGAGTTTGCACATTCTCCCCGTGTCTGCGTGGGTTTCCACCGGGTGCTCCGGTTTCCTCCCACAGTCCAAAGTTGTGCCGGTTAGGGGATTGGCCATGCTAAATTGCTTATAGTGTTCAGGGTTATGTAGGTTAGGTACATTAGCACTGGGAAATGTAGGGTTATAGGGAAAGGGCAGGGTGTTGGATCTGGGTGGGATGCTGTTCGGAGGGGTGGTGTGGACTTGTTGGGCCAAATGGCCTGTTTCCACACTGTAGGGATTCTATGATTGTTCACCCACATAGACAAAGTAGTTTAATAATGTTCTGCACCTGTGGGATTGAGTTCAATAGCGACGGAGATTGGCCAGTGGCAAAAATAGCCTCCTTATTGAGCATCTGCAGCAGCACAGTTTAAGGCAGCGACGGAACTCAAAGTACAATTTGACAGTAACCTTTTTTATACAGTTTTTACATACATTAAAAGTTTAGCCCGATGGTGTCATATTGTCATATCTATTGCACACAAGTTTACGTGACAACTGTCCTGGAGAAGCATTTGTTAAATACTGGCTGTTTCTCCTGATGGGATTAGAATGCCTGTCTGGTCTGAGCTTGCATAATTAAGAGGTTTAATTCTTGTCTTTAAAGTTAGTAACATTAGTAAAAATACTAGACCAATATGACCTAAATAAGTGAGAACTAAATAAACATATGGAGGATATTAAACTGATCTCCCGCAGCTGGATTGTCAGATTTCATCTATTGTTGCTGGTTTTTGACAGTTCCTACACATTCATTCATGCAGCTTCACGGAAGTGCGGTTTTGATAGTAAATTTCTGAAAGGGAGTAGCTGTCCTATTTAAAAAGTATAAATCCGTATGTTAATACAAGATGGTTGTCCTAAATAAAAGTTTGAAGTAGGTAGTGTATAAGGAAATTTCAAAGAGATAAAAAGCAGCACACTGTAGGGACATGATGGTAGAGGAAACTGTTTGATGTCCTGCAGCCTATTCAGGTTGCGAGAGAGGGCTATTAAGCGTTAGTTAATATTATAATCTTTCCATTGTTTCGAGTGAATTTATGGAGACATGATGGCAGGGATGACATTGTTCTGGGTAGGTTACAGTATTAACACTTATTCAGGGGTAGACGGGGCAGGGTGGGGGGGGGTTGGGAGAGTGGTAAACAGTTGGAGGTAATGCCCCATTATGTTGCTGTAGGTTTACAGTAGAAAGGGATGAGGCCCTGCAAATAATAGATTTCAGGAAGCTAGGAAAAAGAAGTAGTAGCAGTGAATACTAGCATTGAATACAAAAATAGGTGGATAGTATTGAATGGCTGGCTAAAACAATGGTGAAGAAGGGCTTTAGATTCCTAAGGCATTGGACCTGCACACATTTGATGGATTGGACCATTGCAAGGTCAGGACCAATATTTTGACTGGGCGCTTTGCTAATGCTATTACTCAAACTAACTTGCAAGATAATTTGATAATCTGCAGTAAAGAATTCTGCAGATTCACTACTCTCTAAAATAAATTCTTCCTCATCCCTGTCCTAACTGGATAACCCCTTATCCTGAGATTACACTCACTGGTCACAGACTGTCCCACAGGGGGAGAACAACCTCTCAGCATTCACCCAGCCAAACCCCTTAAGAATCTCATACGTTTCATTAAGGTCTCCTCTCATTCTTCTAAACTCCAATGAGTATAGGCCAAACTTATTCAACCTTATCTCATAAAACAATCCTTCCATACTCAGTATCAATGCCCCTGGTGAAAAGTCTCTGGACTGCCTGGTCTGTCTCCAAAGTCAATAGATCTTTACTCAGCTATGGGGACCAAAACTGTTCATAGCATTGTAGATACAGCCCAGCTAATACCTTGTATAGTTTTAGCAAGACTTCCCTATTTGTAAACTAAATTCCCTTTGAAATAAAAGACCAACAGTCCATCTGTCTTCTTTACTACCTGCTGAGGTCAATTATCTCCGTTCCAGGATTTTCTCCAATAGTTTCCCTATCATTGACGAGAGACTAACTGAATTGCTACTGAACTACTAGGCCATTTCAGAGGGCAGTTAAGAGTCAATCACAATCACATCGCTGCAGAACCAGAGTTATATGTAGGCTACAAAAGGAAAGGATAGTGGATTTCCTTTCCCAAAAAGACATTAGTGAATAAGATTTTTTTTTAAAAAACACTTGGTGATAAGCTTCATGGACACCATTACTGAGATTAGATTTCAATTCCACGTATATTATTTGAATTTTTAAATTTCATCACTTGCCGAGGTATGATTTCATGTTAAAGGTGGGAAGTTAAGAAAACCTCACATCTTAGAGGAGGAACTAATATCACATCACCCGCAAGTGCAGTTGTTATAAGAACAATATTCAGAGAGAAGACCCAAAATCAATTCAGTTAGTGTCTGTAAATCAGTGTGACACAGTTGTTTGGTGACAGCTAGTGATGCCCTAACTCAGTGAACCATGACATTAGCACTTTGAATTCGCCCTCAAACTGGCCAAATCCAGAGATGAGACAGGTTTAGTTCAACTTCTGAAGCTACAATCCAAGAAGATATTTTGTTTTGTTACCTATCAGAACAGCAGCCACGGAGACACACAAAAGTCCTGACAGCTACATTACTCAACATACTCTGGGTACCAGGTACTGCCACCCGCATCAATGCAGCAATAGTGGGCACAGCAGAATAGTAACACACAAAGCAGTCTTAGTGTGGGTGCATTCCAGTACATACAGAAAACATTCGCTGCTGGAAGCATAGCTACCAACCTGAAGGAAGTCCAAGAAGGTGTAAAATTGGTAAACGTTACAAGACAGTCTCATTTGAATTCCACAATATTTGTTCCTGTGTACGTTGGCCATTGTCAGTTGGTTGCAGACACGTCTCTGAATCACAATGTTCAGGGTCAAGTTCCACTTCAGAATGAACAGTGAGCACTGCATTGATGGAAACATCATATTTGACGTCAGATGTTAAACCGTTGCCTCATCTGCCTGCTTTGTTGGAATAGAAAAGATCCCATGCATTACTTAGAGGAGCAAGGAGTTATTTCCAGCATCCTGACCAAAATTAATGTCTTAATCAACATCACAAAAATGAATTGTTTAGTCATTATCAGATTGTTCTTTGTGGGCAATTGGGGAGCACAAATCAGCTGTTGCATTTCCTACCCTGCACTTTAAAAAGTACTCAACTGGCTACAAAACACTTTGCAACCAGTGATCATGAAAAGCGTTACATAAATGCAAGTTTTTTTTTCCTATGTAATATTATGGGAAATGAGCACATCCACTTCTTGTTTGAAGGAATTTCAATGGTTATCACTTAACAAGGTCTTTGGGAAACAATCATACCCATGTTAATTCAGAAGATTTTCAAATACCAGCACTGTACTCCTTACATAGATAAACATGTGTAACAGCTCTGTCAATTCTATTCATGACAAGAGATGCACCTAGTTTAAAAATTGCTAATATTTTCTGCTTAAAAATAAAGCTTTTTTTAATCAAGGCTCTTTTTAAGTATCTGAAGACAAATGACTTTTATTTGCATATAACTTTCTGTTGTCCTCAGTTATATCTTGGAATCACCGATATAGTCACAAAAAGGTGGCGCAAGTTGTATCAACAAAAAGTACCAATTAGTAAAACACAATATTGTTAAATTGACAGGACTTAAGTGGCTAATTCAGGCATAATATGCCAATAGGGCAATAAATTAGGATTCACAATCACTTATTTTGATAGTTACTGGAAGACCACAACTCCCCATGTTACTGGTAACATTTTTTTGGTCTTACTTCAGAAAGAAATAATCTTTAAAATGACACCTGAATGAAGAAGTGAAAAGATGTTTTAACATACTGATCAGTTCCATTTTTGCCAAGTTTGCCATTTTTAAACTAAAATGGTAAAACATCATTCAGCACTTGACAAGGCTTGATTTTCCAAGTATGTTCAGGAATAAGTGAATACATAACGGGAATATCCAATTTAATGTTAGTGGCTTTTTTTTGATGCCTTCTCATATGCCTGAGGGTCTTTTGCAAAGCATCTCTCATGGAAAAATGACAGCATCTCCCTGCTTGTCAAGTTTGCTGCTTTCATGACCAATCTTTCTCCATCATCTGTAGGAAAAAGAAATTTTTGTCAAAGTCAAAAAGTTATCATAACTACTTCAAAATAAACAAGCCAAAGTGTTCATGCAAAGCTGAGCATTCACATAATTTACTTAAATATGATTTTGGAGTTTTATTTTCATAAGTATGCTTTAAACCTTTGGAAAAAAGGAAATAATTTCATACATCACCAAAATACAACTTCTGTAATGATATATACTGCAAAATGGTACAACAGTGCATGTATAATGCATTTTTTACTGCACCCTTAGGGTAAAAAAAAGTTTAAAAAATCCAATTTTCTGTTACTCATAAATTTCATGGTTTTGCGCCAAGCTGACATAATTGCCTCAATATGTATTTTTCTCTAATAGATGGCATAATAGACAAGAGGGCTACAATAAAAGGTCACTAAATCTTAAATGTGGTCTCACTAGCCACTGGCACACAGAGACTTAGAGAATTTCTCATGAGCTACCAAGAAGGGGCTTTCCAATATCAATTGAACACAGTTTCTGCAAATAACATTTTAACTTCTGCATTCCAGACAGTGTTATCGATGACAAAACATCTATGAGAGATTTCTAAAGGCAAAGGAATCATCATATGAAAGTTCATTACTTTAAGGCTTTTTGAAATTCCATTAAACTATAAACACGGATGCTGATTTCAGTACTAACGTCTCATTATTCTGCTAAAGTCACAGACTTGCAGTTAACTAAGCGCTTATCACACTAATATTCTTATCACAGGTTCTGTTTTGTTTCTGGATACGACATTCTGCACTAAACAAGTCAACATTTTGTTTCTGGTCAACTGCATGTAAGCAAGCAGCTAAATTTTACAAATTTTACTTTGATAAAAACAATTATTCAATGCAGAAACAAGTCAAAGTTGAATGGGAACTTGTTACTGGTACTTTTTTAAAAAAACCTACATATTTAAATGGTCAGCTAAGAACAGTATTGAATGTGTCAACAATTTAGGTTCTGCGCCTTTTCTTCTCACTTTCAGCCTAGAAGGCTCCAACAGAGTCAGAAAATGCGAGGTAGTAGTAGGGAATACATTCTCAATAAAAATAAAAGGTTGAGCACTGTTATGCATTTCCAATATTTTACAATTGTGCCAATATCATCTAATTTATCACAGCCACTGTAGAAATAGAGTGCAGAAGTGCTATCAAAATGGCAATGTGCAATGAGTGAAATGACACATAACCACTTACAACACTTTACTTCAAAGGCAAAAAGAACTATCACCCTCAAACAAGATAGCCCAATAACCATTGTTCGCAGAGAATAGAAAAGTAACTGTAATTATTTTAATCAAATGCTTGGGCACGTTATGACACACCCCCAGGACAGGTGGATACGACCACTCTGCCATAAGAAATTCATGTTCAACAACGTGCTGCAGCTGAGCTGAAGCAAAGATTGTAGACTATGGCTAGGAGCTTGAGAGAGTCAAGAAACACTGGAGAGTCTGAAAGGACAGGAAAGTGGGAACCCTCAAGTGATTTGCAGAATAATCTAACATAAATGACCATTGTAATTTCAATCCTGTAGCATATCTAGCTTAACTTCTTTCCTACTTTAAGAAATACACAGAATCCTGTGCCAGAAACAATCGGAGGAGATACTAAGAACTGCTGATACTGGAGTCAGAGATAACAGTGTGGAGCTGGAGGAGCACAGCAGGCCAGGCAGCATCAGAAGCTAATGGGGTCTCAAAAAGGTTGGAAGCTTCAGTGAATGTCATCTGGCTGCTACCCTCTCTCTGAATTTTCTCTTGATGTTTTCCTCCTGGATGGAAGAATTGCATGTGAGAATCTGTGTCGGAGTTTTCCATCTTTGTGAAGGTGTGTTTATGGGATGTTCCTACATTGGAACAGTTAATTAGTAATATTACTATCTATTACTCTCAAGATTTCCAATAGAGTTAAGTTATTCTAAATTTCTCTTTCATTGGTTGTGTTTTAACTAGTGTTTAAATAAATTGTGCTTTGCGTAACGTCATGTAGTTTGACCAGTTGTACTGCATCTGGAATAGACTCTTTACATTCTTCCCAGCTACAATCAGTTCTGAAGCAAGGTCACTGGACCCGAAACGTTATCCCTGCTTCCTCTCCAGATGCTGCCACACCTGCTGCATGTTTCCAACAATTTCTGTTTGTGTTTCTGATTTCCAGCATCCACAGTTCTGCTTTTCTCTCTAGACCTCTGTTGCTCACCAGAATGGCCTGATGGTTTGCCACTTGTACGCTAATGGTAGACCAACATTTCCCATCCAGTACTACCCTTCTCTGCCTGCCTGAATGTGTTTGCTCACTGAGCAACTTCTCTTAACTCCCTTCACTTCCTCCAAATTAAAGGCGTTGCTATGGGTACCAACATGGTTGCAGCACTGTCTGTATTTTTGGAATATGTGCTTAATTTTTGTTTAAATACATCAACAGCCCCTTTTTTATTATGCCAATGATTGTAACAATGCTTACTTCCTACACTCGCCTTGAATCATAAAACTTCATTTATTAAACTTGCTATCAATTTCCACCCTTCTCTCACCTATACACAGCCTACTTCAGATTTTCTTTCTCACCCTCACTTTATCTTCATTTCTGGCTATCAAAGTATCATCAGCTCACCATCTCCCTCTATTAACTCAAAACACTTCCTCACATCCAGTCTTCTGTAAAGATTCCATTCATTCTCCCAATTCCTCTCCCTCCATGGCATCTGTTTTGATTATACAATCTTCTAAACCAACGCAATGAATTTGTCTACCTTGCACCTCAAGCAAACATCCCCTGCCCCTACCATGATTGACATGGCCTTCAACTGTGTCGGACTCATTTTCTGCACTTTACTTTCACCCCATCCCCACCCTTCCTGATACACAACAGAATTCCCCTGCCGTCAGCTTCTACCCTACCAGCTTCAGTATTCAATAGACCATTCTCTGTCACTTCCACCAACTCCAGAGTGTTGCCAACAAACACAATATATCCTTCCCTCCTTTTTTAGTATTCCAAACAGACAATCCTCTCTGTAATATCTTGGTCTATTCCTCAGTCATCCCGAATGCTCCAACGCTTTCCCATGGCACCTTCCCATGCAAGCACAGGAAATGCTACACCTTCTACATCTTTTAGATTCACTTGCCCCATTGTCAAGGCCCAAGGATGCCTTCCAGTTGAAGCAGAAGTTTACACATACTTTAAATTTCATCTCCTGCATTTGCAGCTCACAATTTGGTCTCCTCTACTTTGGGGAAACCAAAAGAATAGGTGTGGAACACTTCTGTCCAGACTGCAACCAGAGCTTCCTGTGGTCTGCCACTTTAACTTTCCACCTTGTTCTCAGGCTGTCTTCATCCTACTGCACCATTCCACCAAAGTGCAGCACAAGCTCAAGAAACAACATACTTTGATTAGGCACTGTGCAACCTTCTGGGCTAAACATTTGTTGATTTATCCACAAGATGTGGGCTTCGCATTGGAGTGAGTTTGGAGTTACATACAGGCAATACCAGGAGGGATGGTAGATTTCTCTGTCTAAAAAGGACCTTAGTGAACCAGGTGAGATTTTACGACAGTCAACAGCGGTTACATGGTTGACATTTGGCCAGTTTTTTATTCCAAATTCTTATTGAATTCAAATTTCCACCTCTGCCAAGGTGGAATTCAAACCCATGTTCCCACGACATCAGCCTGGCATTCTGGCTTACTAGTCTAGCAATTTTACAACTATGTTACCAGCTCTCCATTGAGAGTATCAGAGTATCAGAGCATCAGAGCATAATCTCCATTTCCCTATTTTGCTTCCTTCTCTTTGCTTAGGTTAACCTTAAACCGGTTTTTCACATTTTTGCTTTCAGGTGGCAACTGTTCATGATTTTGTCTTTCACATCTCTTCTGGGCATATTTTTTGTTTATTTGCTTCTCCCTGTACCACTCTCTTTAGCTGTACCTCACCAACTCTATTATCCAATAATAACTCTGAATTTACATCCTATCAGGCCTTCTCTTTCGTTCTTTGTCCACCCTTTCCCATTCGGCTGCATTGCTGATACCGAGGAGCACAGACAGTATGCGCTAGAGAGATGTGTGCAGATGCGCTAGCGATTAAGATTTGTTGAAGGAGGGAGAGGCATCAGGACCCTTGAAAGAAGTGTGTAGATCTGGATCCAGGTGGGGGAAGGTGAAGTGTGTGAGAGAGACTGCATGAGAGATCGAGAGACAGCACAAAAGAGTTAGCATTGTTAGCAGTGGTTAGCATTGCTATACCACAGCACTGGGGAGCCAGATTCAATTCCAGCCTTGGGCAACTGTTTGCGTGGAGTTTTAATGCTCCCCCCAAGTCGGCACGGGTTTCTGCCAGGTGCTCCAGTTTCCTCCCACAGTCCAAAGACATGCAGGTTAGGTGGACTGGCTGTGCAAAATTGCCCAGTGTCCAGGGATGTGCAAATTAGTGGATTAGCCATAGTAAATGCAGCGCTATGGGGATAGGGTGGGGGGTTATCTATTTTTAGATTTTTAGACACCGTTGTCTCGTACTACAAACTGCTTCCAAAGCCTTTGCATTCTTTCTTAAATAAGGAGCACTAATGTTGTACTAGTACTCCTGATATGAGCTTGCCAATATGGTGTACTACTTGTTTATTGTGAGGGATATTAAATACACAATAGCATTCTGTAACCTATGATTATAGAATATTAGCATGGACAGAAGATTGGCAGGCCGGTAGAAAGCAGAGAGTATGTACAAAAAGATCTTTTTCAGATTGGTAGATGTGCCAAGTAGGGTCTTGCAGGGGCCTGTGCCAGGCTCGCAACTTTTCACAATTTATATCAATAACTTAAATTACAGAATTGATGGAATGGTGACTAAATTTGCAGATCACACAAGTTAGGTAGGAAGCATATTATGAAGGTAACACAATAAAGATGCAAATCAATAAAGATAAGTTAAGCCAGTGGGCAAAAATCTGGCAAATGGGAATATAAAGTGGGAAAATGTAAAGTTGTTCACTTTGGCAGGGAAAAAAAAAGAGTATTACTTAAATGCAGAACTGCAGAATTCTGAGGTGCCAAGGGATTTAGGTGTTTTAGTCCATGAGTCACAAAAGGTTAGTATGCAGATACAGTGCATAATCATTAAGGCTTATAGGATGGTAGCCTTTATTATGAGGGGGATTAAACTTAAGGATGTTATGTTTCAGTTACACAGGACATTGGTGAAATCACATCTCGAACACTGCACAGTTTTGGTCTCCTTATTTAAGGGAGGATGCTAATGCATTGGAGGCAGTTCAGAGAAGTATTACTATATTGATAAAAACCAAAAGAACTGCGGATGCTGTAAATCAGGAAGAAAAACAAAGTTGCTGGAAAAGCTCAGCAGGTCTGGCAGCATTTGTGAAGGAGAAAACGGAGTTCTGAGGAAGGGTCACCGGACCCGAAACGTTAACTCCGTTTTCTCCTTCACAGATGCTGCAAGACCTGCTGAGCTTTGCCAGCAACTTTGTTTTTATTACTATATCGATACCTGGAATAAGCAGGATTATTTTGTTGTAGATTGGACAATGTTAGGTTGGTTTGCGTTAGAGTTCAGAACAGCCAAGAGTGATTTCTTCGAAATTTGTAAGATCCTGAATGGTCTTGACAAAGTGAACATGTAAAAGACAGGTGATCCCAGATCCAGGGGACACTTTTAAAAAGTAAGGGTTGCCCTTTTAGGACAGAGATGAGGGGATTTTTTTTACCCATTCTCTCACAGGGTTGTACAACTTTGGAACTCTTTCCCCCCCTCAGAAGGCAGTAGTGGCAGAGTTATTGAAAGTATTTACAGATGACAGATTCTTGTTTGCCAAGGAAATAAAAAAGATCATCAGAAATAGATGAATTTAGAATTTGGAATAAAAACTAATCAGCGATTATCTGTATTGCTGCTGCTCCTAATTTGTATATTCTTTCTTAAAATACAGCATTTTAAGTTGAGTCAACATTTTTGGCACAAAAATACTTTCTAGTTTGACACAGTAAGTTGACCATTTTGTGAAACATTTCCTTTTCCTGAATGTTCTCCCCTTACTAATTCCCCTTGCGCATGGTAAGTCATTTTGGCAGGAATATTTCCTGTCAAACCATTATCAATGCATTTATTCACTACCAACCAGACGAGGTTCAACTGAGCGAAAATAGATATTCCTTCTCTCATTATTTGTCACATGCAAATAAACATTTGGCCTCTGCATCATACTTTACAAAGCAGCACAAATGCGGCTGGGTAGAGTTTGGCGCATCACACTCATGTAACCAGATAAAACTGATACCAAACCGAAAGGGGAAAAGTCTAAAACACTGGTCCAAAAAGTAAAATTTTAAGGATCGTTTCAAAGGACAAGAGACAAGTAGAGAGGAAAAGAGGTTCAGATCAGGACTTTTTTTACTCAAGGCTAAGCAAGTTGCTTCAGTCAATTGCAGATGTTAATCAGCAGCTCGGACTGACAATCAGTTATGGAAAAATTATATGGAGGACATCAATCCCCAAATGGTGAAAGAAAGCTTCGAGAAAAATATGGAGTGCCTCTTTCAAAGCTGCATATTAAAGCCTGCAGACCCAAACAATTTACCATCTGGACTTCCAGGGAATGAAATCTGGGTTTCTTTTTAATATTTTTGACCTTTAATGGACTGAAAAGTAATGCAAAACTTACTGAAGGTGACTGATACAACAGGCTCCGTCTCATCATGCTTTACATCAGCTACAATCCGGCAATTAGAGTTTGTTAGGCGTGCCTTTTCTGTTCCTACTGCAGCAAGAAATTCCCTACAAAATTTTGGAAATAAAATGTAACTGGGCACAAACTATGCAAATAAAAACAAACACAGTCTTTTCACGCTTTTTTTTCTGTTCAAGTGAGAAATACACTTTTGTAAGTGTATAACCATACATGTGCAAGGTCTCACATTTGCAAACGTTTTTTTCCAAAAAAATTGTCTCTCTTTAGCAGTTAGCAAAATGCACTGTTTTATTTGAATTTATATTACTGAATTCTGAAACACACGTGTTCATAGAAATAATGACAACTTAGAATTATTAAAAATTCTTTCACAGGGTCTAGGGATTGCTAGCTAGGTCCTCATATATGCCCCTTTTCTAATTGTCCTAGGAAAAAAAAATGATGACCTGTCTTCAACTGATGCAGTCTTTGGAGGGTAAGTAACACAGTGCTGTAAGGAAGGGAGTTCCAGGATTTTGACCCCATGATAGTGATGGAGCAGCTATATAGCTCCAAGTCAGGATATTGTGTGCTTGCAGTGCAACATTTAAATGGCAGTGTTCCCATGCATCTGCTGCCCTTGTCCTACTAAAACGATAAAACTAAGGGTTTGGAAGCTGCTGCCTGGGTGAGTTGCTGCAGTACATCTTACAGATGGTGCACACTGCTGCCACTTGTGCATCAGTAGTGGAGGAATGAACGCTGAAGGTGATAGATGGGATGCCAATCAAGTTGGTGATTTGCTGCTGATGGTGTCGAGCTCCTCAGATGTTGTTGTAACCATACCCATCAAGGCAGCTGGAGAGTATTCCAAACTCCTGACTTGCATTCTGTACAAAAACATTGCTAGAGAAACTCAGCAAGTCTGGCAGTATTTTTACAGGATTTGTCCTGCTTTTTGTTGTCAGGACACATAGATGCTGTATTGGTACATCTTGGATAGGGGTGCAAATGGTTAGAGTGTCATAGAGTCATACAGTATGGAAACAGACCCTTCAGTCTTACTTGCCCATACTGAGCAAGTTTCCCAAACTAAACTAGTCCCACGTGCCTGCGATTAGCCCATCTCTCTCTAAACCTTTCCCATTCACGTACCTGTCCAAATGTCTTTTAAATGTTGTAACTATACCTGCATCTACCACTTCCTCTGGCAGTTCATTCCACATATGAACCACCCCCCACCGTGTGGGAAGAAGTTGCCCCTCAGGTCCCTTTTAAATCTTTTTCCTCTCAACTTAAAATTATGCCTTCTATTTTGAACTCCTGTACCCTATGGAAAACACTTTTGCTATTCACCAAATCTATACCTCATGATTTTAAAAGCCTCCGAGGTCACCCCTCAACCTCCTACGCTCCAGTGTAAAATGTCCCAGCTTATCCAACCAGTCCTTATAACTCAAACCCTCCAGTTCTGGTAATATCGTTGCAAGTCTTTTCTGCACCCTCTCCAATTTAATAATCTGTTCCCTATTGGAGGGCAACCAGAGGCGTACACAGTACTCCAAAAAAGTGTCTTCACCAACATCCTATACAACAAGCGATATGACATTCCAACTCCTCTATCAAATGTCTGACCAATGAAGGTAAGCGCACCAAACACCTTCATTACCACCCTGTCTACCTGTGACACAACTATCAATGAACTATGTACCTGAACCCCTAGGTCTCTCTGTTCTACAATGATCCCCAAGGCCCTACCATTAACTGTCCCGCCCTTGTTTGTCTTACTGCCAATAAGTTGTAAGGGTCCATAACCCTTGCAGCATTCAATCCTTTACCCAACACACCGAGTAAATTGAATTGATTGAAGATTGCATCTGTGATGCTAGGGACATCAGAAGGATATTACTCATTCAGTGTTTCTGAACAGGTTTGGACTCCTGGGTTCGTGGACACAGTAGCTTGTGGGATAAGCCGGATCATGAGGTTACAGATTGTGGTTGAAGACAATTCTGCATCTGATGCTCTCAGTCCCACATAAATGTCCAGTTGTTAAGATATGTTTGAATACTATCCCATTCAGCCTAGTGGTAGTGCCACACCACATAATAGAGGGTATTCTTAAAGTAAAGATAGGGCTTTGGCTCACAATGACTGTGTGATGGTCACTGTGACGATATTTGGCTCTAAGAGGTGTATTTCGTCCAGGGTTTATTTTTGGAGAGGGGTTGGTATAACAGAAGCAGCAGAAATGAGTGGAGTTAGGCTCCCAATGAAGCAGGGTTTTAGTTTAGTTTCAGTATTTGTTGGGGTTTTGAAGCTGGCTATTGAAGTTGCTCCGTCTCTCTCTCAGCCACATCTTTTCTCCTGGACTGGAGAAACACTGCATGTGAGACAATCTATTTTACTGAATTTGCCTTTGCAAAATGTATGTTTATGAGATATTACTATGTTGGAACAGTTGCTGTTTAGTAGTTAAATAATCTATTGTTCTGTTAAGATTTCCAATAGAGTTAAAGTTATACTGATTCTTCTTTCTTTTGTTTGTATTTTAACTGTAGGGTAAGAATAAAGTGTGCTTTGCTTAAAGCCTAGTAGTGTGACCATTGAATTACAAATGAAATGCAGCACCTTAAACTTGCCTTTATATAAGATAAAAATTAGGGTCTAGGCTATCTCCTTGATATATATGAAGGGGGTTTGGTCTGGTCATAGCATCACTCCTACTAATAATGTCACGGATATCTGCTACAGCTAGACCTGTGAAAGCAAGGTCAAGTAAATGTTACCATCTTGTTAGTTTTCTGACCTCCTGAGTGAAGCAACTCTATTCTTTAGGACTTGATCAGTTGGTCAGTAGTGGTTCTACTATGCCACTCTTGGTGATGGATTGAAGTCTCGCACTTCTATTGGATTTTGTGTTCTTGCCACCCCAAGTTGTGTTTACCTGTTGGTATGACAGGATATACCAAGGACCCTGTGATGATAGTCTTACAGTATCATAAGGTTTGAAATCACTTGGGAGACAAACAAGCAGCAATATAAAAGAGTTAAAAATACTTCATTTGAGAGCCCAGCTCTGGGTAAACAAGAATCAAAGATTAGCTGACAAAAATGTTACTGAACAACACGCTACTTTTTAAAAGATGGCTCACGTACACCTGACGTACATTCTTGCGCGACGAAGGAACAGCAATCAAAGCCGGAGTTCAATGGTAACAAAGCAGAATGTAGAATGAATCAGATAAAGGGTCTGTATGACAGATGTCAAATGTTAATACAGGTGAGAACCAAGCTGAATATAGAAAGCTCAGAGAGGAACTGAGAAAGGAAATACAATTGCAACAACAGAGTCTGAGAAGAAAGTGGTAGCTGACATAAAGGCGGGAATCCAAAGATTTCTTTTGGCACACAAACAACAGGATGGTTAAAGGATGAGTGGAACCAATTAGGGACCACAAAACAGATCTGGTCATATGTCAGATGCTAATTAAGTACTTTGCATTTGTCTTTACCAAGAAAGAAAATAGTGCAGTGGTAGTTGATATACCAGGTGCATTACAAGCTGATAAAGAGAGGCTATTAAAAAGCTGATTGTATAGACAAGTCAACAGGGTTGAATGGAATGTATCCAACGGCATTAAGAGAAGTAAATATAATACCATATGAATTTGGAGAGGTAGACGAATCAGCCCATCAAGCCTGTTCCATTATGCAATAAGATAATCATGGCTGATCCGATTACCCCACATTCCCAACAGTCCTTGATAACCTTTCACTGTCTTGCTCATCAAGAATTTATACACCACTGGCTTAAAAATAGTCGAAGGCTTTGCCTTTGAGAAGCAGAGCTGCAAACACATGACCCTTTGCGAGAGAGCATTTCTCCTCATCGCCATCTTAAACGGTGATCCCTTATTCTGAAACAAAGATCCCGAGTTCGAGATGATCCCACAAAAACAAACATCCTTTCACAATGTACCCCGTCAAGACTCTTCAGGATTTTATATGTTTCAGTCAAGATGCCTCTTAAGTAAGGGTGGAAACTGTGCATGTACCTCTGATCCTCCTTAGATATGGAGGTGGCACCAGAGGACTGGAGAACTGCAAGTGTTGCACCCTTGTTCAAAGCAGGGCAGTTTAATTCTGTAGGGAGAAAGCTTTTAGAAATTTGAATCCATAACAAAATTAATAGTTGCTTGGACTAGTGTAGCTTTATTAAGGAAAGTCAACACAAGACTTGTTAAATGCAAAGTGAACAGGTGTGATTGCACCTGTAGATAGAGAAAAACAGAGTTAATGTTGAGTTCAATGTGACTCTTCTTTGGAACTGAACAGGTCTGGAAAACTTGTGTTTTATGTTGCAATGAAAAAAGGGGGCAGAAAAGAAGGAGCAAATGAGACAGATGGGAAAGATGCCCCACAGCAAAATGCAAAGGGAGCCCTAAAGAGGCAATTCTTGATGGAGAGTAGGCATTAACAACAGAAAATGGGTTAACTTTTCTGACATCAAATCCACATAAACAAGAAACTGGGGAGACCAAAATGGGGGACAGAGTTTATGATCTCAAGTTGGTAAACTCCAGTGTTGAGTCTTGAAACTTTGACCCCAGCTCCAAGTCATCTACATAAATTGTAAATAATAATAAAAGTATTTAGATTTTCAGAATGTTTTTGATAAGGTACCGCACATTACACTGTTTAATAAGAGACCATGGTGTTGGAGGTCATATATTAGCAAGGAAAGAGGATTGGCTAACTAATAGAGTTGCAATAAGGGGGACATTTTCAGGCTGGCAGTCAGTAACTAGTGATTAGTGCTGGGGCCATTATTATTTATTTGGATGAGGGAAATAAATTTACAATCACGAAGTTTGCAGATGACAAAAATAGGAAGGCAAGTGGTGAGATGATGCAAAGATGTTGCAGGTGGGTATAGACAGAGTGATATGGGTGACCAGACCTCCATACCTTGGTAAATTCACCACTCATCTTCATCCTTGCATATTCATCCGCAAGCACATTTGTGACTTTTTATATTTTGGCGCAGTCACCCATATTATTGGCTATAGCCATCCTCACTTAATTCCAGATTACCTCTAAATTCCTCAACTTTAGCTCAATTTCTGAACTAAATCCTTTGCGTTGTAAACAATATTGGCCCAAGCGCATATCCCCCCAGAACACCACTTCCCTGCAGTCCAAAATTATTTCCTTAAATCCTGTTTTGCAGCAATATTTCTCTTCATTTGCCTACATAGATCTGACTCTCCATCCCATGTCCTTGTCATAAGGCTCTGAGATTTAACCCAAGATTTTTCCTGAAACGGAGACATATATCACATCCTCTGCACATGGAATCACCGAAGGGCTACAACAGAGATCATTCTCCGAGTCATATCCATGGTGGCTCCCTGTAACAGCAATTGACTTAGCATCACTTTCATCTTCGCTGTGCATAGTTTTTTTTTCTTTCCAGATAAAGCAAAAGCAGAGTTAAGGCTTCAGCTCCACGTTTCTTTCCAATAACAGTGCCTGATGAACTGAATGTTTCCATTTTTATTTCAGATTTTCGGCATATTGCTTTTTAAAAAAATTATCTCCAACACATGCATTGTTATTTAATCTTCCATAGGCATAATCGAAGTGGGGGAAGAAAAACAGAAATTGCTGTAAAATCTCAGTAGGTCTGGCAGGCTCTGTGGAGAGAAAGCAGAGCTAACTTTCCGGGTCCAGTGATGCTTCTTTCAAGTTGCCATCGGCTTTAAAGAAGGGTCACTGGACCCGAAACGCTAACTCTGCTTTCTCTCCACAGATGCTGCCAGACCAACTGAAATTTTCCAGCAATTTCTGGTTTTGTTTCAGATTTCCAGCACCGGGAGTTGCTTGGATTTTAAAAACGAAAATAAAGGACATATATTGATATTGATTTACAATAGAAATTACAGACCATTATGGCACCGCAGTTTCAGTACAACTGGATGCACGTCTTCCAGAAAATCCAATTAATTCTGTTGAGAAGTTTGTTTTCACCAAAGGGGCAAACTGTATCAAACTAAGACAAAATCACCAGAAGAACGAGTACGAAATAAAGCTTTATTCTGAAGGCCTTTCCTACCTGGCGCCGCGAACATTGGACTCAAAGGGACAGAACTGCACAATAATTTCTTTCACTGTTCTCAGAACGACTCTTACCCTAGCCGCCGCCGCCGCCATCTTACGTGACTCCCAAGAGACCGGGGCTGGGCGGGGCGACGGGTACCCGCGGTGCGCTCTGGGAATTGTAGTCAATTTCCTGCCCACAAGCCGTGACTGTTGCGGTGAGCGTTAGCGCTGCGTTCGGACTGGCGGCGGGACGTCATGACGTCACTGTCACCCCCCACTTACGTCGCATCCCCGCCTGAGGCGATCTGGGTCTGAGGGCGGATCCCTCTGTTCAGGGCTGCGCGTGCGCATGCGTAGCCCGCTCCTGCCCAGCTGTACCGACTTGGGTCTCGCACTGAGTGTGGTAAGAGCAGAGGCAGAGCCAAGGATCGCAGCAGTGCAGCTGCTGTAGAGCCTGGTAGGAACTAAATTATTGCAGCTCTGAATGCGCGATCTCTATTCTTCATACAGTATATATACAGTACGTTACAATTGATTACTTTAGTTGCTGTTTATGTTGGTGCTTAAGCTCCATCAACTTGTGTGAAGCAGCTGTGAGATTTAGCGATTTCTTTCATCATTTTTCATGGTAAGTTTTTTCTTTCAAAATCTCCTTTGTAAACGTTCAGTTTCGCAGCCAGATTTGTGAAATATGGAAATTATTAATTGTGCACAACATCTATTAACTAGTAGCTAGAAAGTCGCATGGTTTGATGGTTGTACTCTTCACGCCGGAGATGTACAGACCGTAATACTTTGTCTCGTTGCCTTGGGCACAATGAGAAACTGACATTTGTGGAATTGCTCGAGGCTAAAAATGCTGGGCATTTGAAATTAAATAAAAATGTATGGTATCATACAGTTTATAGTTTGATTTTCAGTGAGTGCATCAAATACAGTATATTCGCCTTTAGTAACGGATAAACTACGCGGTTCGCAAGATAACCTAAATAAATCTTGTGTTTTCATTAGAAACCGTCAGTTGTCTATGTGACTTGGATCCAAATCTTCTATAGTTTGTGTAGTGTTGACCGTTATATGCAATGCAGAAATATTTTATTTGCACTTAAGAGTTCAGAGGAGGTGTCTTCAAACTTCACTTTAAACGTGTTATTTTTTTTTTAGAAAAAACAGTTTCTTCTCCAATGGTTTAGCCAACCTTCAGATAAAGATTTCTTTGATCTCATGTTAAATACCTGTCTTTGTCTCACTCACAATAACTTCGGGATCATATGACCGTGGAATGTTGCAAAACTGATCGTTTTACATAATTATATGTTCGGTACCACATTATATGTTCAAGTGATTTTATTTTGTATGCTGAGTGACAAAAACAAATGCTTGTTTGGGAATTACATGTTTAACTGATATTCCAGGAAATAAATGGCAAGTGATTTTGTAAAATCTGTCATTAACTTCAGATGGATTCAATGCCCTAAAATTATGTGGTGTAGTTTGGAAATAGTTTCCACAGTCCAGACACAAACACCTAAATGCATTTTCCCTTTTTAATGTGGTTTTGAGTGAAATTGTTTGCAGGTTCTGACTAAACATTTCCAATTGGCTGCATTATAGTACTAAAAAATATTGCATGCTTTTTCAAGTTCCGAAGTGACAAAATGCTTATCACTACGTGCACGTCAATTAAAGCTCATTTCTTTTGAATTATGTTACATAGTAACTGGAGTAGATCATTTACCCATCAAGCCTGCTCCAGCTTTCATCAAGATCATGGCTGATCTATCTGAACACCATTTTCCTGTGCTATGCCCATACAGCTTGATACCTTTAATTTATAGGATTTTTAAAAATTCATTCGTGGGATGTGGGCTTCGCTGGCTGGCCAGCATTTATTGTCTGTCCCTAACTGCCCTTGAGAAGGTGGTGGTGAGCTGCTTTTTCGAACCGCTGCAGTCCACCTGCTGTGGGTTTAGCCACAATGCAATTCAGAAGGGAATTCCAGGTTATTGACCCAGTGACATTGAAGGACTAGTGATATATTTCCAAGACAAGATGGTGAATAGCTTGGAAGGGAACTTGAAGGTGGTGGTGTTCCCATGTATCTGTTGCCCTTCCAGATGGAAGTGTTCATGAATTTGGAAGATGCTGTCTGAGAATCTTTGGTGAATTTCTGCAGTGCATCTTGTAGATAGTACACACTGCTGCTGCTGAGCATTGGTAGTGGAGGAATTGGATGTTTGTGGATATGGGGCCAATCAAGCAGTTGCTATATTCTGGATGGTATCCAGCTCCTTGAGAATTGTTGGAGTTGCACCCATCCAGGTAAGTGCGGAGTATTCCATCACACTCCTGACTTGTGCCTTGTAAGTGATGGAAAGCTTTGGGGAGTTAAGAAGTGAGTTACTTACAGAGGTGCAATATTCTTAACCTCTGACCTGCTCTTGTAGCCACTATGTTTATGTGGTGGGTCCAGTGGAGTTTCTGGTCAATGTTAACACCAAGGATGTTGATAATGGTGTTACTATCACTGAATCCCATCTGAATATCAAGGTGTGGTGGTTAGATTTTCTGTTATTGATGATGGTTATAGCCTGGCATTTGTGTGGTACGAATATGACTTGCCACTTGTCACCCCAAGCCTGGGTATTGTCCAGATCTTATTGCATTTGAACATGGACTGCTTTCAGTATCTGAGGAATTGCAAATGATGCTGAACATTCCCACTTCTGATCTTGTAATGAAGGGAAGGTCATTGATGAAGCAGCTGAAGATGGTTAGGCCTAGGACACTACCCTGAGGAACTCCTGCACGTATGTCCTGGAGCTCAAATGATGACCCCCAACAACAATGACCATCTTCCTATGTGCCAGGTATGACTCCAACTACTAGAGAGTTTGCCCCCTAATACTCATTGATTCCAGTTTTACTTGATGCCACGCTCGGTCAAATGTAGCCTTCATGTCAAGGGCTGTCACTCTCGCCTCACCTGTGGAATTCAGTTCTTTTTTCGATATTTGAACTTAGGCTGTAATAGGTCAGGAGCTGAGTGGCCCTGGCAGAACCCAAACTGGGCATCACTGAGCAGGTTATTGCTGAGCACATGTTGCTTGATAGCACTGTTGATGACACCTTCCATCACTTTACTGATGACCAGAAGTAGACCGATGGGATGGTAATTAGCTGAGTTGGATTTGTTCTGCTTTTTGTGTACAGGACAAAGCTGGGCAATTTTCAATATTGTCAGGTAGATGTCAGTGTTGTAACTGTACTGGAAGAGTTTGGTTAGAGGACTAGCAAGTTCAGGAGCACAAGTCTTCAGTATTATTGCTGGAATGTTGTCAAGGTCCCTAACCTTTGCAGTATTCAGTACCTCCAACCATTTCTTGATATCATGTGGAGTGAATCAAATTGGCTGGAAAATGGTATCTGTAATGCTGGGGACCACTGAAGAAGGCCACATTGGATCATCCATGGGGCACTTCTGGCTGAAGATTTCTGCGAATGCTTCAGCCTTATCTTTTGCTCTGATGGGCTCTTCCATAATTGAGGAAAGGGATGTTTGTGGAGCCTCCTCCACCAGTGAGTTATTTAATCATCCACCACCATTCATGGCTGGATGTGGCAGGACTTCAGAGCTTAGATCTGATCCATTGGTTGTGGGATTGCTTAGCTCTGTCTATGACTTGCTATTTGGCATGCAAGTAGCCCTGTTTGGTGACTTCACCAGGTTGATACTTCATTTTTAGGCTGCTCCTGGCAAGCCTTCCTACACTCTCCACTGAATCAGGGTTGATCCCTTGGCTGGACGGTTATGGTTGAGTGGAGGATATGCTGTCCATGAGGTTACAGATTGTGCTGGAGTACAATTCTGCTGCTGTTGATGGCCCACAGCGCCTCATGGATGCCCAGTCTTGAGTTGCTAGATCTATTCGAAGTCTGTCCCATTTAGCATGGTGATAGTGCCATAAACCTGATTGAGGATATCCTCAATGTGAATGCGGGACTTTTTTTTTTCACAAGTACTGTGTGGTGGTCAGTCTTACTGATACTATCATGCACAGATGCATCTGCAGCCTGCAGATTGGTAAGGAAGAGGTCAAGTATGCTTTTCTGTCTTGCTGGTTCCTTCACCACCAGTTGCAGACCCAGTCTAGCAGCTGTGTCATAAGAACATAAGAACCAGGAGCAGGAGTAGGCCGTCTGGCCCTTCGAGCCTGCTCCGCCATTCAATAAGATCATGGCTGATCCTTTCATGGACTCAGATCCACTTACCTGCGTTCTCACCGTATCCCTTAATTCCTTTATTGTTCAAAAAAAATCTACTTTTTTTTTAAAAACATTTACTGAAGTAGCATCAACTACTTCACTGGGCAAGGAATTCCATAGATTAACAACCCTCTGGGTGAAGAAATTCCTTCTCAGTTCAGACCTAAATCTGCTCCCTCTAATCTTGAGGCTATGCCCTCTTGTCCTAGCTTCACCTGCCAGTGGAAACATCCTCTCTACATCTATCTTGTCTATTTCCTTCATAATTTTATATGTTTCTACAAGATCCCCCCTCAATCTTCTGAATTCCAATGAATGTAATCCCAATCTACTCAGTCTCTCCTCATAAGCCAACCCCCTCAACTCCGGAATCAACCCAGTGAACCTCCTTTGCACCCCCTCCAGTGCCAACACATCCTTTCTCAAGTGTCCTTTAGGACCTGACCAGTTCGATCAGTAGTTCTGCTGCTGAGCTAGTCTTGGTGTTGGACATTGAAATTCCTCACCTAGAGTACATTTGGTGTCCTTGCCATCCTCAGTACTTCTTTCAAGTGTTGCTCAACACAGAGGAGTACTGATTCATCAGCTGAGAGAGGGACGGTATGTGGTAATCAACAAGAGGTTTCCTTGCCCAAGTTTAACCTGAAGCCATGAGACTTCATGGGGTCTGGAGTCAATGTTAAGGACTCTGAGGGCAACTCTGTCCTGACTGTATTCCACTGTTCCTCCACCTCTGCTGGATCTGGCCTGCCATTGGGGCATATCCAGGGATGGTGATAGTGTTGTCTGGAACATTATGGGTAAGGTATGATTCCATAAGTATGACTATGTCAGGCTGTCGTTTGACTAGACTGTAAGACAGCGCTCCCAGTTTTGGCAATAGTCCCCAGATGCTCCTAAGGGGGACTTTGCAGGGTCGACAGGACTGTTTCTGCTGTTATCTTTTCCGGTGCCTGAGGTGATGTCAGGTGGTTCATCATGTTTCATTTGTTTGAGACTTTGTAGTGATTCGTACAATTAATGGCTTGCTAGTCCATTTCAGAGGGCAATTGAGAGTTACCCACATTGCTGTAGGTCTGGAGTCAGATGTAGGCCAGATCAGGTGAGGATGGCAGATTTCCTTCCCTGAAGGACATAGATTGATTAATCTATCTATCAATCTCTGTCTTGAATATACTCAGTGAGCAAGCCTCCACATCCCTTTGGTGCAGAGAAGTCCAAAGTCTTGCCTTCCTTTGAGTCAAGAAATCCTTCATCATAGTCCTAGATGGTTTACCACTCATTTTGAGACAGTGTTCCCTTGTTCCAGATCCTCCCTCACCCGTCCTCCAGGAGAAACATCCTACATGAATCCTCGCAAGC